TGCAGCTTTTCACTTGGCAAACCTGATGAGCCGAATGAGGGCACATCCATCAGGAAGCTCCAAGCAGCAACAACAGAGCTCAAACTGCAACATGATGTGCTCAGTGAAAGGAACTAAAAGGGTCACAAACAACAAATCTGAAATAACAAAAGCACAAAGTGGAAGCGAGCCAGCACAAAGAAACGTACGAGTTCTCTCCACAGTTTCAAAGCATGCGCTCTGAGAATTTCAGGAGCTGACAAAACAAGTGCTTCATCATTTCAGAGAAGCGGAACGAAAACACCAGCAGACAGAGAGGCGGAGAGATGATACGCTCTTCCACGTTGCTCCTGATTAATGGTGGAACACGGTGGTTTCCTTCTCAAAACACGCTTGACATGCAAGGATCAGAGAAACCAAATAACTTCGACTGGACAGCTCAGCTGTATAACACAACATACACCAAATACTATATTACTATACTATAGCCACATAAATACACAGAATGGCAGGTTCCTTTATTACTATGAGCAAGGACACTGCAGTTCATTTCTGTACTATAAAGTGAAGTAGCACCTTAGAAGCAACTTCATGATTTTAAACGCAGCTTCAGAATTACCCCACACTACTAAATCATGTTAGCTCAGGTATGTTCAAAAGGTAAGGAAACAGCACAATGTTTAGTGTACATAGAGGATCTTTGCCTTTTAGTGACTACTGTCAATAGAGATACAGATTTTAAGTGAAAGCAATTCCATTCCTTGCTTGACTTCCTTTCTATAGACCTTTGTAGACTGATCATAAAGCAGCCTTATGGGGCGTCCACACAGATAGTGACTGCTGGTGATGTCCCAACAACAAGAGACCACCCAAAGCAAAGCAAGTACTGGCAGGTCAAGAGTTAATATTGTCTCAACTCAAAAAAAGTCAAAAAATTAAAGCAACTACCAATGAAAGTGAAGAATGCTGTTGATTGACATATAGTACAAAGGAGTAGTAATTACACTAGTAGATTGTCTACTAGCAACCAACCATTAGTGACAAAATAATGCACAGTGAGCGAATCTCTTCCTGTATTCATATAGGATTTGCAGGTGGCTGCTCCTTCCCAAACCTGGGTCTGCTGGAGGTCTCTTCCTGTTAAAAGAGAGTTCTTCCTCACCACTTTTTTCCAAGTCCTTGATCAGAGGGGACTTGGCGAAATGCCGGGCTTCTCTTTCTCTGTTTGTTGAGTTTATCTTACAATGTAAAGCACTTTGAGCAAACTGTTATTGTGAATTGGTGTTAAATAAACTCAAAGTTAATTAAATACTGATTGTAATTAGGGCCAGGCAATGACAAGGCTACTGTCCTTATTAGCCTATTCTTATCATTTATGTTTTTAACCAACATCCTTCTTGGATTTGACCGCTATTTTTATTTTCCTCACATTTATTTAGGGTTACAGTTTGCTCTTGAGAGAAATCTGTTGCTCTAGACCTGTCCGTGCTTGCGGATGGCTTTAAGGTATCAACACTACCTCTTTCACATCAATGTGTAATCTCCTGAGGAGTAAACACTGGGCAAACAAACCAATATTTTAATAACTACCTTGATTCAGGTAAATGAAGACTGACAGCCCTGAATTTGATCTTGATAACTCTAGTTGAGGTTAAATTCTTTCTAACTTCACACCTTCAACGTCATGTGTATTAAACCCCAGCAGAAAGTAGTCCTTACTAGGATGAAGTCTTTTTGGAAAGATGGTGTCCTGAACTGATTTTCAGCAGTGTTTTCTTGGCACAATACCCTGTAAGGTTAACTAAAAGGGAAAAATAAATATATTTTAATTAGAACTGAAGTCTGAATGCACTCATGTTGTTATTTAACTGCTGGGCAGGGTGGAAGGCATACAAGCCATGCCTTTAGACTGAAATTAGTGCCTAAGCAGTTTGAGGTTTTACCTTTCCTCAGCGCTTTCACAGCAAGTTGGCACGAAAGTCCCAGAAATCCAGCCTCTCTGTTTTTGTAAGGAAGTATATATATATTATATATACAAAGGAGACTATGCATAAAGAAGGGAGACCTGTAAATTAGCCTGAAAAATGGATAGATACCATCACTTTATGCAAACTTATTCATGTTCACTTTCAGGATCACCCTATGTGATGTTTTTGGCTCTTTCCTGTCATCACCCAGAAGCAAAATTTTACTGACAAGATTTAACACATTTTTCACATCCAGCTGTGAGTAAACAGGCATGAAGGTGGGGAGGCGTTTTGTGACCATTTGTTTGCTGCCCGGTTAAATATGGGCTGTATATTATTCTTATCTCCAGATGGAGATTTATAATTGTAACGTGTACTTACGAGAACTGTCCTACCTCTGAGTTATTTTCGAGCGCTCAGATTCCTAACATTTCAGATCATATATGGTTGACAGGTCGCAGAAAAGAGCTTTAGCTGGATTTTAAAATAAATAAGTCATAAAAATGTAGCCAGTGGTCTCGCAGGCCTGACTGAGTGCCGATAGTTATCATGCTTGACCCTGTCGCGGTCACTCCCTTGTTTTTCATCTCAGGCTTTTTAGCAAATTGCTTCCTGCCAAAGCCTTGACATTTTTAGCTGAAATGTTTAGAAAAGGAAATGCTGCTGTGATTTTTGGAGATGGAAAGTTGCAGGTTTGTATATATAGACACTGGCAGTTTGCTAGGCTTCTCCAACAAATTTGACCTCTGGCTTCCTGAAATTCAAGCGTTATCATGTACTGTGTACTTCCATTCATCACACTTTAAAAATTGCACGATCTGCAGGGAAAACAAAGGAGAAAAAGACGTAATTTCTGCAGGTTTCAGCGACACATTTCTTCTCGATAAGGCCCTTTCAAATTACTCTGGATCAAAGTACATATTATGAGGGAAGTCAGAAGCTCCAACCAACACCAATGCTTTACCAACATTAAAGTGAGAGATCTGGATCCACAGCAGAATTTAATGTTATTCTTTTTCCCTTTAGTAACATTGTGTTTTTTCCCCCGAAGCTCCAGCGCTCCACCAGGTTTCATGAAATTTAGGTTTACAGTAACCTTGCTGAAACCCTACCATCACCCCAGCTACCTACCTAGCTGTCAGTTAGACAGCTACCTGTAGATGCTAAAGATTGACTAATTTAATGATTGCTAACAGGCGCACACAGCAGAATAAATGGAAAGCTGGACAGAGGGACTGGTGTCACTCACAGGTTTGTAAAGTGTCATTTTGAAGCTTCAAGATTAGCAACTTGGATGTGTCGAATGAAGGGTGGATCTGACTTTGAAACCACATGCTCATGAGCATATTCTGGAAAATCTTCTTATAGAATAACCAGAATTTATAAAACTTAACGGCCTGTTTAATATGACCTGAAAGTATTGCCTGACACCATGAAACAACAAAGAAAGGTCTGCTTCCCATAGACTTTGATATAACTGCAAGTCATTTTTAACCACAATACTCCCTACTGGCTATTAAACAGGATGTATTAAGACTCTTCTGTAATGCTTCACTTTTCAGACCCACACACTCCCACTCTATTCTCATCTACCATTATTAACCCAAGGTTAAGAGAGAATCACACAAAAGGTTTTTAACCTCCCCCTACAAGAGGCTCAGATCCTAACTGGACATATTTGTAGTAAATTGCTTCTTTAAGCCCACTAAAAAAAGTCTAAGTCATTCATGAAGAGGTTTGAGTGCATGACAATTCATTGTCAGAATTAGAATCAGCTGTGAAATTGCCACATATTCCCATATGCACCCGTTTCCCCAACTTCATATCAGCCCAGAGTAAAACTGATTTTACACAGAAGCACTCTGAGCGCAAATAAATGTAGCACAACAACATGAGCTACAAGACTAAATAACTTTCTTGAGCAAAGCAGTCTATTACTAATGACGGAGGAATAAGAGACATTAGATTGGACCGTCTGTGACGCTTAATAAACACGAGGAAGCTGTAGGAGTGGGAGAATTTTTCTCTGACGATCCTAAATTTATTATTATATTAATCAAAAAACTGATAAAGGTCACACATTCTTTCAAACAGCAGTAAGACTATTCCATAGAGGTCACTGGCTACATTATCTATTGGGTGATGGTGGATGTGTTATATTTTAAAGGTTGTTTAGAGCTGTGGAATTAAACCTGAACCCTTGCACCTGCTCTCTCACTAGCTTTGGTGAACTAAAACTTTAAACCATCCTAAGAAACTGGCACTCTCATTTGTAAAGGTTATAATATTGAAACGCAGTCACCAGTGAGACAGGAATCACACGCAGGTCTTATAATTTCAGCCATTTTGTTTAATAACGTTCCACTGGAGACCTCCCTCACATGGTTCACCAAACCCACCGCCTCTTATTCAGCGTGGCCCGCCTGCCCTGCGCCCCTGGCATTTCCTGTGTGTAAAACAGAGTGGGCAACGCTGGCAACTAGCACCCATTTCCAATAATGGATACCAGATGAAGGGTGTGTGTTTAGGTATGTGCTGTATGTGTGCAAATCCTGCCCAAAACCCTAAATGAATGCTGTACCTTTCTAATTATCCAGCACGAACTCCAGCTTCTCTTTTTTTTCCCTCCCATTTTCTTGCTCTTTGCTTTCGCACAACATGATTAATCGAGCTCCAGCTCCACCAAGAGGTCTTTTATTTTTAGAACACGGGGACGATCTCCAAGACGCAAGAGCTCATCCAACATAAACAGATTCTGGTACAAAGAGTACTTGTTTAGACATTCTTAAGATTCTTCTGCAGAGCATAAACTCCCCCCAAACCCCACCTATCTCAACATCTGCATGTATATGTGCACATACGCACATCTTAAAGAGTAGATGGCTCCAAATAAACAGAACATTCAGCCCTTCTCATGTTCCTTCATGTGGAAAGCAATATTCACTTGATGCATGAAGGTATTACTAAATATAACATTCAAATATCAGCAAACATGACATTGCCTTCCTTTATGGGTTTTTTTTTTTATGTGTGCAAATTGTTTAGGACTCTTACCTTGACTTCACATTTCTTGTGGCATGCGATTCGGCACACTGGAAAAAGAGAAAGGAGAGAAAAACCAATTAACTCCACAGATCATAAAAAGCTTTTGAACATTATGGAGAAATTCAGACTGCGTGTTGCATTATGAGTGATGACGCTGAGCAGCTGTCAAGAAGACATGAAAAAGCAAGAGGTATATTCAAATTCCACAATGTTTGTACTGTGGTCAAAGTCAAACAGCATCTGCTGTTAGCAGGCTGATACTGCCACAGCAGCTCACACTCCCAGCAAAGGCTTAGAATTCACTGCTGTGAAGGATAACACACAGTGAGAGATCTCATCTCTGTGTCATCGGTTAAATGAACTTTTTAAAGTGTAATCATCACCAGTGCGATGATCTTTTTACTGAAGCATCTCAAAATCTACAGATGCACATCAAAACAAAGTCAGCCGGACATAATAAAGAAACCACTGTGAGAGTTTGGGCTGCAGTACTCATCGTCTCCCAGACTAAACAGCTTTCAGTGCAATGAATGAGTCAGGATGTTTCAGCCGTCTGTGCATTTGTGCGACAGGCCACCCTCCAGTTATCGATTCCTACACTGACCACACGACTGTCACATGAAGTTAAAAGATCTGATTTATCTCGAGGTCTGCAGCTGGAAAATATTAGGTTACTCATTAGTCCCAAACAACAAATGATCAGTCTTGATGCATGCTCAATTATCCAGGAAAGGAAATCCCAAAAAGTTGATTCTGTTCATCTGGACGCAGCGTTTCCAGTGGGAGAGACGTTTCGTCACTCATCCAATGACTTCTTCAGTCCCAGCTTCAGTGGTGCTGGTTTCAGTCATTGTGCAAATGTACTGTTTATAAGGTTGGGGAAACCTGCAGTCAGCTGAACTGAAGAAGTCACCTGGATGAGTGACGAAACGTTTCTCCCACTGAAAACGCTACGTCCAGATTAACAGAATCAGCTTTTTGGAGTAATTAATCAATTTTCCTGAATTTCTTGCTCCAGAATATTAATCTTAGGCACCGTTTTAAAGATCAGGGACAGATTTTCCTCCTGTTTTTGGAAACTTTCCACTTTTTGAACATTTTAATTCTCTCACCTTTTTTGCTACAATAAAAATCCACGTCTGTCTGCTTCATTCCAACCAGTACCCCAATTTTTCCTGGTTTACTCCTGGATTTTAAGACCACCTTCTAGAGATAAGCCTTGCTCTTTCTCCTAGGAACCTTCTGGGATTTTTTTTAAAGCCTCTCAAACTTTATTCAGAATACTGAATGAAACAGCCGTTATCTTTTGTGTCACACAAGAGCGTCGAAATCAGTCATATTTGTTATTTCTAGCAAGATGTCATCTTTTCTAAACATTTACTAAAACATGACTGATTGCATGAGATGTATTCAGGTGATACGAAAAAAAGAACCTCAGTTGCACTCTCTTCAAATAGCCACTGCACCAGTACAGTATATGGTTAAAGCAGATCTCGAAAATTTCATCAAAGATTAAAGAAGTTGTTTAACTATAGAATTTCTGCACAGTTTTCACAGCTCCCCTTCTGTCCTCAAGGCCTCTCTGTGGACTCCCACTGGGCCACCAATAAGGGTCAACAAGAGAGAGCAGCTGGACCAGCGGCTCATAAATTCTCAGCTTCCCTCGAAGGACAGAAAACCAAAACACGGCTCAGCGTGCCGAGGTGTAGGCTTTCCAAATAAAGGAGAAGGCTGTATGCTTTTACTGGAACGCTCTACGCCTTATGTAATGAGTTTTTCTTCCTGTCTCGAGCCACATTCTTCAAAGCAGTTGTAATATCTGTTGTGAATAGTTGTCAAGTCATTGATATGAAACTGGGAGGTGGCCAGTCCTGACATTGTGCGAGAGTCAGATTGTGTGCTTTGTATTATGTTATGGTGGCAGTGCAGTGTTTTCCTGAACCCTATACTTCCTCTACTCTTGCTTCCTAAACACTATGTTCTCTCTGATGTATACAGATTAATCATACAGGATATCCCTGAAACACTCCTTTAGTTCCACGTGGAGTTTTCTCTGCGTGACCCTCCTTCTTATAAGCTTCACTCTATGAATGTCAAGTCAATGTTCCACTGGGGCCAGCAGTTTAGTACATACAGACAACACAGAAAGACTTGATAAAATGCTAATTCTCCCAGGCTTGTGTGAAAGACATATCTTGACATTTCTTGGCCAAGTTCAACTAGTGAATGGTTTTGCACTTGCACAGGCTTAAACAAATCTGCAACATAAAAGGTAGAAAGACCAGAGGTGGAAGGTGAGACTGAGGGAAGAACCTGTTGGATGAACCCAGAAAAACCTCTAAAAGGAGGCAGCTAGTATTCGCAGCCTTGCCTTATTGGTTATTACCCAGAGCTCATGACCACAGGTGAGGGTTGGAACATACATCTGGTAGCTGGAAAAGCTTTGCCTTTTGACTTATCCCACTTTTCACCATGACAGTCTGCTACAACGCCTTCATTCCTGAAGATGCTGCACCAACCCACTGGCCCAGCTCCTTTCCATCATCGTGAATAAAATCCCAAGATACTTGAACTCAGGGGCAGCTTCTCCCCCAACATATTGGGAGAAAACTACTGTTTTCAAGCAGATAAGCTTGTGGAAACTATGAATTTAAGGAGATAAACAAGACTTTGTTGGTGCAGTGGCGCCTATTGTGTACTATTCTTCACAGCTGACTTACTCTGGTTGCCAGAAAAGCGCAGACTGAGCATTTTTCTTTTAAACAAACACACTTAGTTTAGTTAGAAGTCATCTTTTAATTTCAATATAAAAATCTATTTCAAATGTGCGTGAACAATATCTAATGTCGGTTCTAAAGCAGGTTACGCTAAAACAATGACATACTGCTAAATTTGCAGCAGGTATCTTTAATGTTGGATAAAAAAGCAGGGGTGTGAACTCTTTTCCGCCAAGATAAGTTTGAGAACCAGTGCATTTAGGAAGGTTAATGCACACGTCTCTTTTTAAGAGTTAATTTGACTGAAACTTATTTGGTTATGAAATGGTTTTGATCAAACTGTCACACAATGTTTATTTTTAAAGACTGTTATTAGCAGATGCTGTTTTCTTGTTTAAATATCAAGTTTCCGATGTGTAAATTACACGTAAATACATGCAAATGATCTTCTATCTCATCCTGTGACACATGGTGCTCTTATTGGGACTGCTGTGGCCTCTCTGATGTCAGCAGTCATGGTGTGGCTGAGTGTGTGTGTTGGTCAGTTAGCTCAGTAGGAAAACATCTGGTCTCCAGAGTGCGATCTCATGAGTCTGAGTCTCCCTCATGATGAATTACATTTTGATGTTTTATACACCCAAAAATGACATTTGTTTTTTGTTCGTTTCATTTTGTTCTCAAAAATGATCAATGAAAAAGAATATGAGAAGTTCAAGAAGGATACTGAGGAACATCATCATGGCCACCCGCACAGCTTTTCAGTAAATGTTCTGTCAGTGATTATTCGACATTGTTTTCAAGAATCTTATTTTTAAGACATGATGTGACACTACAGTTAAACATCAGACACTGACAGTAAAGCCAATGGTTATTTGCTGAGAGGCTCAAGTCATCAAGGCCAAGAACACCTGATGTTTTACCTTTAGTCTTAAATGCTTTAAAAGATGACAGCTGCCTTTGGTGCAGGCTTCTTCAGTTCTAAAACCTGATGGAGAGTCACAGTTTAGTGGAGGTGTCACCCTGGATGTGGTCCTGAAAGATGATGAACCACCCTGTAATTATGTGAGTCATTAAAGGCCACACATCCAGGGGACAAACTCCCAAACACAATTCAATTTATATAGTGCCAAATCACGACAAGAGTTGCCTCAAGGTGCTTTACATTGTAAGGTAAAGACCCTACAATAATAGAGAGGAAACGGAGAAAACCCCAAAAATCATATACAAGCACTTGGGTGACAGAAGACAAAACTCCCTTTTAACAGGAAGAAACCTCTGGCAAAACGAGGCTCAGGGAGGGGCGGCCATCTACTGCGACTGGTTGTTGTGGTCGTGGCAGACCAAAGTGACTGAACAACTCTCAGGACCACCTAAAAACAGGCCAAAACCTGAGACTCTCCATCAGTTTTGGAACTGAAGAATCCTCGTGGATGAGAGCTGAAATGTCTTCATGAATCAAAAAGAAGTCCTATTGCCTTTAGCAATGAAAAATGGCCTGGATGCGGAGAAGCTACGCAAAACTCTTTACTTTTACTTTGATGCACTTTGAAGTCCTTAATTTTGCTCAAGGTCAGAGGTCATGTTCTCTGAGCAGCAACTGTAAGGATTAAGGTACAACCTACAAGGCTTTTCAGGAGACTTTAGTTTTTCTTTCACATCTAACCCTATATTCTTTGGAATGAGAGAAAAGTTAGGGGTTTAGGAGTGGGTACTTATCAGTTTTAAAATCTATCTAGGGTTAAATTAACATACGAGAACTTTATTAACATTATTTACATCAGGTGCACAACACAGTTCAATGTGAGCTGCAAGATGATAAATGTAAGATAAAATATGTGTTCACTGGTATTTCAGTGTGCAACAAGAGTATGTCTACAAACTGAAACCTGAGAAAGTGAGAAGCTTCCTTTTTAGATCCAAAAAGTGTACTTACATCATGCAGAGGCATTTAGTTTCTATTTAAGCGCTCGCTGGACTATATTTGCACACGTGGGGGGCTTTTTTGACTTCTTAATTAGAGGCCTTCAAATCTGGGAGGCACCATGAAATCCTACCGGGATGCACAGCGCATCCCAGAAAGTTCCCAGAGTGAAACTAGAAGGGTTTGTTTCTACAGCATGACTCACATAATCTGTCAGGGAGCACCGAGATCGACTCCAGACAAAAATAATGAAACACGTTCATTTAGATGACTGTCGATTCCCGCAAAGACTGTTTTCTTAACTCACGTGGGAGCTTGTAAACCTTCTGCTTGGCTTTTGTCATGTTTACTTTCATGATCAAAATTGCTATGAATCATTATTTTCTTATAATTTATTGTTTTTTTCCCA